TTCCACTCCTAGATATTTGCCCAAGAGAAAGGAAAGCATATGCCCATACAAAGACTGTTCACAAATGTTCCAATTTAGTTGTAATTGCCCCAAACTGGAGCCAACCAACATGTCCATCAGTAGGTGAATGGATAAACCAACTACGATACGTCCACACGATATGTGTGGGAATATGACTCATCAGTGAAAGAGAATGTACTATTGACACACGCTTCAACATGGATGAATCTCCAAATAAAGATGTTGAGTGAAAGAAGCTAGACAAACAAAAAGCACCGTATGATTCCATTTATATAAACTCTAGAATCAAACTAATTTATAGTGGCAGAAAGGTCATTGTTTGCCTAAGGCTGTGGGGGGCAGGTCGGGGAAGAGGTAGGGCTAGGGGCTAGAGGAAGGGATTACCAAGGAGCGTGAGGAAATTTTGGGGTGTGATGGGTATGTCTGTTGTCTTGATTGTGGTAATAGTGTTACCACACTTTAAATCCATCAATAAAGCTGTTAAAGAAATGGCATAGAGAGATTAAGTAACTTGGCCAAGGTCTCACAATAATAACAAAATGCCATCAAGTAGACATACCATATTTAATGACTCCCCTATTATTGGATATTGTGTTGCTGTCAATTAGAAATAATACTGTGATATAATCGCTCTGTGTTGGGTATCTTTAATTATATTGAAGCCTATTTCCTTTTTCCTTAAGCCAGGTTTCGAGAAGTAAAATTACTAGACAGGCCAAAAAGTATGTACATTTCAAAGGCTATTAACTAAGAGGGTCTCCAGGAAGCTTGTAACAAGACCCACGCCTCTCAGTCACTTCTGTAGCCCATTTTTTACTACCACACTTCCTTATCAGGAAGGGGTAAGTAGATTCCTTTTTGCCTCTCATTTTTGCTCATGAATTCCCCATTCCTGAATTCATGTGGAAACACAAAGGGTTCCCCGGAGCTATTATGACCCATCTCTCCTCTGGTGGCTGTGAGGCTTAAGGACAGCAATGGCAGGGAGTATCTTCTATGACTGTGGGCACTGGTCCTGTCCACTCTGGGATGCCCTTGGCTACAATCATTTCCCTATGAGTCATTTGCACCGGGGCAGAGCCCCACCTGCTCCCAGAGCCCGGAAAAGTGCTACTCTCACCTGTTTCTTGGTGTCCACTTCCAGAATGTCCATCAGGTTGATCATGATGTTTTTGTGCGTCTTCTTGTACTTCCCGACACGTAGTGAGACAGTGAGCCAGCCAGGGCGCCCCGTGCACATGAAGGTCTTGCTGCCCTGCTCCTTCCATTCCCGCACCTGCAACCACAGGACAGAGGGTGAGCTGGCCCCACTGGGGATCCCCCGAGCAGCCTGCAGCCCTGCTTTCATCGAGAGGGAGCTGGGAATGATGCCTCCATCAGGCACTGGAGAAACAGAGCGATGAAAAGACCTGCTGGCCCTACCCTCTGGCACCTCCCTGGCCAGCAGGGCTAACAGAAAAGCCAACATATTGCTACACCATAAGGCAGAATGATGAAAGAGCTAGAATAGAGGATCAAAGTGTTCTGAAAACATTAACTCTAGCTGGGAAGTTCAGAAAAGGTTTTGTAATGGTAATAATAGCAAGTATAAAAATGATGACCATTTACTGGGTATTCCCAACACACTAGGCATCTCCTTGCACACTGTCTTGTGTAATTCCTACAACAGTCCCAGGAAGTTAGGATGACATCCTTTTTTTGAGGATGAGGAAACTCAAAAGCAAAAGAACTTGTCCAAAGTCACACAATTGGTAAATGGCAGAGCTGAGATTCATAGCCAGGACTGTTTGACTTCAGGACAGGAAGGATAGATGGGGCTGTGGTAGCAGTTCACAGGGTAATAGCTAACATGTATGGAGGCTTATCACATGCCAAGGCCTGTTTAAACATCTGTATATGTTAACTCATGCATCACTTGGAGGGGGAGAGGAGGAGCAGGGAAGGACCACCAAGTCAATGGAAGGAAGAGGTTTTACAAAACCTCTAAGGTAAGTGACCAGAGCACAAAACACAGAACAAATGGCCCATGGATGACAAGCCCACCAGAAACGCAGGATGAAGTGTTTCTTTTCTGCCGGATAGACAAGTGCAGGGTAGGTGGATATTTGTTGTTTTGACCTGTGACCATCCATTTCCTCTTCATCCACTTCTAACAATCCCCATCTTCCTTTGGTCCAAGTGAGATTGATTCTACCCCCCTGCCCCAGTAGGTGGGTATGTGACTGAGGTCTGATTCTATCCTTCCGGCCAAAGAGACAGGTTAAGGGATGGGTCTACGACCCAAGTCAAGTCAATGAGACCAGTTCCAGGACAGCCACTCTCTCTTTACTGGGGTTGCTAAGCTGGTTGGGTATGAGCCAGAAACTGTTGGGGCCCCTGCAAGGAGAGAGGCTCCAGAGAATAAAGTCAATCTAGAGAAGCAGGGCCAACAGATGGCAGCGGGATGGACAGATGGTGATGGGGGACAGAGGATCCCGGATCCAGCCATGCCGGATCCAGTTGTACTCCCAGACTTTTCAGGACCTGAGCCAATAAAATCCTTTTTTGCCCAAGTCAGTTTGAATTGAGTTTCTTTCACTTGCAACCAAAAGTCTGGTCAAATACTGATCAGGTCTCCTGGAGAAGGCTGCACTGGAGCTGGCCAGGCAAACAGCTCAACATGGGGAAGGACTATCCTTTGATCAGAGGCCAGGGAGCCAGTAGGGGGCAGGTATTAAGGAAGAGATTCCTGTGATTTGGGGGAAAAGGGATGATAGGTGGGATTCCATGACCAACCAGGTTTTGTCCCTGCCTGAATCTGCAGCCATGGAGTTTGATACAAGCCCAGAGATGGGAGGGAGTGATTAGGGGTGCTGCATTTAAGCTGGAGGCCAAAGAGAGAGCCCAGAAAAAAGGGCAACTGGGTCAGACAGCTATTACAAGCCAGGTGTGAGGCAACTAAACCAGACCTACAGGGGGGAAGGGAAAGCCTGGGAAAGAAGAAATGTCAGAGTTCAGGCTCTGAAATCAAGCTAACCCAGGTTCCAGCCCCATTTACTGACTACTCTTCCTGAGCACATGACTCACACTCTGAAACTCAATTTTCCCTGTTTGCAAAATAGGCACAAGATCTACCAGGGTTGCTGTGAGGATGGCAATGGCACATGGCAGGTCTGGGGTAGAGGCTAGTCCAGCTGGGCCCCTGTCTTTCTGCTCACAGTGAACCTTGTGGCTTAGCTGAGATTAATAAGCACTCGCTAGGCTGTATTGAGCCAGGTCCTACGGGCCACAGGCGAGTCACATAACAGTCCCTGATTTCTAGGAGCTCACAGTCTGACAGGGGAGACAAGCAGGTAAATGGAGAATTTGAACTCGAGAAAACAGCTAGGAAGCAGGGTGCAGATGGGGAGGGAGGACAGGCAGAGGCTCTGGAGCCATGACTGCGACCAGCAAAATCCAGAGCTACAGGGCAAAGTACTTCCAGACACTGGGTTCTCCCACCAGGCCCCAGGTCTTATGCCTCATGGGAACGTCTCTCCGCATCCATCTTCATGCTCTTGCCTACAGCACCCAGCGCGGAGCAAGCAGAATATGGAGGCTGCTACACCTACGGAAGGGTGTCAGCAGGAAACAGAAGCTCTGCAACCTGATGCCAGCAAGAGAGGAACATAAGGAGAAGCAGAGGGAGTCAAGAAACTGCCCAGGTCCCTGGATACAGAAGAGGCTCCACTGTGAGCCATAGCAGGTCACAGGCTCCGTGGGTGCCTGAGGAACTGAGAGATGGACCGACTGCCTTTGTCGAGGAGTGAGACCTCCGTCACCAGAGGCTGTGCGGCTCTTCCCTACCGCTTCTGGGCTGGGTTCTACCTTCTTGCTTTAGTCTTCTATCCTAAACCCAATCAAAAGCGTCTTGCTGCTACAAAATAAAGTCCAATCTCGGCCTTGGCATCAAGGCCTCTCTCCAGCCTAGCACCAAACGGACTTTCCGACGTTCTCCCGCTTGCGCCCTGCACTTTTAGGCTTCCCAGCCTTTGCTCACACCAGTCCCTCCACCCACACACCTTCCCCCAATCATTTCCCATACTTCCCAATCTCTAGACCCAGCTCCACCTCCCGGAAGCCCTTCCTTCTCTGAAATGTTTGGGCCAGGTGAGAGTTACCTGAGTGCTGCGCACCTCCCCCTCTTTCCCTTCTTCATCTCCCTCCAGGTACCCGCATATGCCCTGCAAACAGTGGGCACTTTGCCTGTTCTGCTCCCCCGACCCCATCACATTTTTGTTTCGTTCCAACCCCTCTCCAATGCCAGCTCCCCACCCCCCCGGGAAGTCCAGGCCGCCCCCGCACGGCAGCTCCTGTAACCACCTCGCGTCCCGCTATCCCCGCGCACGCCGCCCCCAGCCCTGAGTCCCGGCCGCACCCGGCGCCGCTCACCTGCTTCTGGATGTCCCGCACGCGCTGCTCGTGCAGGCGCGGCGCGCTGCTGAGCTTGAACACCACCCAGGCGCGCACGTAGTAGTAGATATCGAAGATGAGCGACAGCGGCAGGAGGAAGAGGCACACGAACACCCAGCGCTGGTGGATGAGCACGAACTCCAGCCCCTTCACGCGCACCCACAGCAGGAATAGCAGCGCGCACACGGCCAGCGACACGGCGGGCTCCATCATGCGGCGCCGCACGGGGAGGGCTGCGGGCTCGCGCCTCCTGTCACTGCCTTCAGCTCCGCGCCTGGCCCGCTCTGCGCCCGCCGCCTGCCGCCAGGGGAGCCCGGGATCGCCCGCCGCCTCGCGATTGGCTCGGGTCGCCGAGGTCCGGTGGGCCGAGACCCGGGAGGCGACCAATGGCGAGCCGCGCCGGGGATCGGACCAGGAACCTGCAGCTTTCATTGGCTGCAGGAGTCGGGCCGCTCCACCCTTTTCTCCCCGCCGCCGCGCGAGGCGGGGGTGGCAGGGACTGGGTGCCGGTGGGGTCCGCAGCGGATACCGGGGGCGGGCGGCTGGCACTTAGGGCCTCCGGCCCTCTGGGCTGCGGGGCCGCCTCCTCCAAACGCGCCTTAAGCGGTTTTGCAGTGGCTTTCCGCCCCAGGGCTGGGAGGCGCCCCGGCCCTGAGTCAGTCACCCTTTGGCCGGGCAGGCGGTTCCCGGGCGCGGAGGATGGAAACCTGGCGATAACCTCAGCAGGTCGTCGTGCCACTCGGTGTGCGCAAGGCCTCCGGAGGCATCTTTTCATTTTTAGGGGTCGCTTTCCACGAATTCATTTGAGCTACACAGCAGTCCTGGGCGGTGGGGAGTGGTGAGCTCCATTGTACACACTTGGAAGCAGTCCAGAAAGGTGAAGACCTGTTCGTGAACTCCAGAGGCCATTGGAAGCGTGGAAGGCTATGGTTGGCACTCTTCCTCTTTTTCCAGTTGACTGAGGCAGATGGGAGGCCCGGAGGAGAAAGAATGAAGGCAGGCATTTCAGCCGGAGTAAACTCTCCAGACCCTCTCTGTGCCAGGCAGTGTTGCAAGCTTCGGGTAGGGTGGTGAGCAAAGCAGATGGCCCTGCCCTCACTCAGCAACCAGGGTAGGGGAGCTGCCACAGTTACCAGCAAAAGCTGAAATCCAGCGCCGTTTGCATTTCATATGGAATTTTAGGAAGTTTTCGAGACGTTTTAGTTTAGAAGCTAAACATGACATACCAAGCTCTTCTCTGTCTGGCCTTGCATACCTATCCAGTTCCCTCTCCATTCATCTCTGCCCTGACATGCACTCTTAGAAGGCCCCCTGGGCCTCAGCATTCCTCACTTTTGCCCTGCTGGTCAAGCTAGTACCTCTGAATGCCCTTTCCCATCCCCTTTTCGGAGTTCACGTCACACATTCCGAAGCCAGCTCAGGGCCACCTCTAAAACATTTATAGCACTCCCCTCCCCAACCAGGTACTCATTAAATAGTGTGCATCTCTGTCACCGTTCTTTCATGTTATTTTATAATTGTCTCTTTATGTATCTCTCACCCCCACAGACTGAGCCTTAGGGCAAACAATGTCTTGTTCACTTTTGTCCTTCCAGCTTCCAGCACAGTGCTTTGTGCACAGTAAACACTCCAGCGGCTGTTGACCAATGAATGAATGAAGATCGTACGCTCAAATATTCTAGTTATCAAAGTGCAAAGAATGAGAGGTTGTTTGCACTGGACTTCAAAAATAAATAGCCTGGACCTGTACTGTCTTACACAACAGCTATGAGCTACTGGTATGTGGCTAGTCCAAGCTGAAATGCCCTTTAAGAGTAAAACACACACTGGATTTCAAAGACTTAGTACACAGAAAAAATGCAAAATAGTTCATTAGTAATTTTTATGTTAATGAAGTGTTGAAATAACATTTTGACATATTGGGTTAAGTAAAATACAGTATTAGAATTAATTTCACCTGTTTTATTCACTTTTTAAAGGTGTCTACTAGAAAATGTAAAATTACAGATTTGTCTTGTATTACATCTCTAGAAGCTCCAACCAACAGGGGGACCCTGAAGTATGAAGAGGAAAGCCGATGTGAAAAATGTGTCTCCCTGGTTCTGTCTGACTGTTAGAGAGGGCTTTGCTTTAGAAGCTTAACTGTTCTGATTATTTTGGGGGCATGAGGTAATCTGGAAAGTAAAGTTCAACCTAAAAATTAACTGAAGTGTTGAGTGTTGTGTAGGAGAAACAGTGGAAATTACTGGTTAATCAGAATAGTTTTATACTTGGGTAGAGAAGGATGGAGTCCCAGAAAGTAGATAAAACTGATCTTTAGGAAACAATTCCCAAAAAAGGAAACGAATAAAGTACTCAGGTTGGGTGTAGTGGTTCATGCCTGTAATCTCAGCACTTTGAGAGGCCAAGAGGGGCAGATGCTTGAGCCCAGGAGTTCAAGACCAGCCTGGGCAACATACCAAGACCCTGTCTCTCCAAAAAAAAAAAAAAAGAAGAAAAAAAGAAGAAGAAGAAGAAAAAAAAAAGGCTAGGCATGGTGGCATGCACTTGTAGTCTCAGCTACTCAGGAGGTTGAGGTGGGAGGATCACTTGAGCCTGGGAGGTCAAGGCTGCAGTGAGCCATGATCACGCCACTACATACCAGTGTTAGCAACAGGCTATCTCAACAACAACAGCAAAAAAGTGAACAAGCACTCAGAACAATTGTTTGTTCAGTGTGCATGTTTCTCATTCTCTCTTCCTGCCTACCCTCCTCATATTTCTGATTCTTCTTTTCTCGAATCTCCACAAACTCTAATCCTTTGGGTTGCTTTTATCCAGGTAAGGAAAACAGTCACTTGAGTTGAGCCAATTAATTAATTTTTTAAGTTACCATATAGTAAAACTGCTTAATCTTTGTATAGCTGATGAATGTTAGCGTGATGAGGAGTACTACCACAATGAGGATACAGTATAGTTCCACCATCCAAAAAGCTCCCTCTGCTGCCCCTTTGTAGTCATACTCTCCCCCACCTCCTAGCCCCTGGCAATCATTGTCCTGTTCTGTCACTAAAGTTTTGTTTTTTTCCAGAAGGTCATATGAATGGAATTGTATGATATGTAACCTTGGACCCACTAATTTTTGCTGGAGTCAAAGCAGCTCTCTTTGTCAGGGAATCTACTCATATTATACATCAATTACAGAGTTGATGGAGCATGCAAACAGTCAGAATGCTTAGGAATAGGATGTTCTGGGCAACAACTTTTCAGGTTAACTAGGTAAAACCCTTTTATAGTTTGACCACATAGCAATCTTTCTACATCGTGAGTCTCTACTTCTTTCTTGATAAATAGAGCCTAAAGAACACAGGTGTTTTTTTTTTTTTTTCCTTCAATTAAAGAGCACGATAAACACCAGAGTCCTAACAAATTGCATTTTCTTATATTTGTACAGGGCAGCTACTGAGATCATTTGATCTTTACAACCAGTCTGAGGAGTGGCAATGCAAGGAATTATTAATATGTGTTATTTTTAATAAATGGGGACATTTAGACTCAGGTTAAGTAACTTACCTGATCAATGTCTTATTCTGGTGAATAGAGAATTCTGATGCAGTTGGTCTGCAAACCACACTTCACACAATAATCAAGGGAGCAGATTCAAATGATGGAAAGATCCAGAAAATGGGAGCCATTCATGTGGTTCTGTTCCATAGACATGAAGTAGAAGTTTTAGAATAGGGTTTGTTGAAGTGTGGTTTGCAGACCAACTGTATCAGAATTCTTGCTAAAATGCAGTCCTAGACTCTACCATATCCCACTGAAGCTAAATCTCCAGAGGTGGGGCCAGAAATCTACTTTGTAAGAAGGCTTCTATGTTATACTTATTCAGGCTAAAATTTAGGAGATTGGACTGAGTATTAATCCTGGAACTTCTTTAAGAATATTACCTTTGGGCCGGGCGCGGTGGCTCAAGCCTGTAATCCCAGCACTTTGGGAGGCCGAGACGGATGGGTCACGAGGTCAGGAGATCGAGACCATCCTGGCTAACATGGTGAAACCCCGTCTCTACTAAAAAATATAAAAAACTAGCCGGGCGAGGTGGCGGGCGCTTGTAGTCCCAGCTGCTCGGGAGGCTGAGGCAGGAGAATGGCGTGAACCCAGGAGGTGGAGCTTGCAGTGAGCTGAGATCCAGCCACTGCACTCCAGTCTGGGTGACAGAGCGAGACTCCGTCTCAAAAAAAAAAAAAAAAAAAAAAAAAAAATTACCTTTGTTTGACTGGGCACGGTGGCTCACGCCTGTAATCCTAGCACTTTGGGAGGCCGAGGAGGGCGGATCACGAGGTCAGGAGATCGAGACCATCCTGCTAACACGGTGAAACCTTATCTCTTCTAAAAATACAAAAAGTTAGCTGGGAGTGGTGGCAGATGCCTGTAGTCTCAGCTACTCAGGAGACTGAGGCAGGAGAATGGCATAAACCCGGGAGGTGGAGCTTGCAGTGAGCTGAGATCGTGCCACTGCACTCCAGTCTGGGTGACAGAGCAAGACTCCGTCTCAAAAAAAAAAAAAAAAGAATATTACCTTTGTTTTAAAATAAAGCCCTAACAGGCCAAGGTTGATGGCTCATGCCTGTAATCCCAGCACTTTGGGAGGCCCAGTAGAGGCAGGTCACTTGAGGTCAGGAGTTCGAGACCAGCCTGGCCAACATGATGAAACCCCATCTCTACTGAAAATACAAAAATTAGCGTGGCATGGTGGTGCACACCTATATGCCTATAATCCCAGCTACTTGGGAGACTGAAGGAGGAGAATCACTTGAACCTGGGAGGTTGAGGCTGCAGTGAGCTATGAACAGCACAGCTATACTCCAGCCTGGGTGATAGACCCTGTCCAAAACAAAAAAGAAGTCCAAATGCAGTTTGACCAAGAGTTGGTTAATTCATTGGTCCAGTGACAATTCGAAAGACCCAGTACTTTTTATCTTTTGCCTACTCTGTCTTCTCAGGTTAACTCCCCTGATGATGGCAGAGCAGCCATGTTGCAGGTGCTACATCAGATACAGTAACATCTAGCAAAATAAGGGGTACCAATTTCAGATGGAAATTAACCATTTCTGCAGCACATTCATTCAATGATTTTAAATGTGTGGGAATTGTGCAAAATGCTGGGGACACAGTAGCAAATTAGACACAATTCTTGTCCTGACAGATCATGTGTGGATCTAGGTAATCAACAGATAATTATAAATCAACATAAGTACTCTGATAAGTGTACTATGGAAGCACCTGATGATATCTATCTATCAATCTATCGATAGGTAGATAGATAAAGTTATATGCAGCCCCGAAGGGCTTCTGAGAGGAAGTGATGACTAAGCAGAAATACCGTAGGATAAGTGGAAGTTAGCCAGGTGAAGTATTGGGTCTAAGGAATAAGCATTCCAGAACAGGGATGCCATGTGCAAAAAGCTCAGAAGCAAGTGAGTAGATGTGATATTTGGAGGAATTGAAAGTTTATCCTGTACAGTACAAACAATAGAGAACTACTGGAAGATTTTTGAAGAAGAGAGTACCACCATCATCACAATATTTAGGACAATTGCTCTGACTGCAGGGAGACAAATCAGTGGTGAGCAGGAGTGAGGCCAGGTAGGATGCCAACAAAAATCCAGGTGAGAAGTGATGAGGTTACAAAGCTAAGGTGGCATCAGTAGAAATGGAAAGTAGATGAATAGTTAGAGACAGATTGAAGGAGAAGGTAGGAAAAAAGAAGAGGAGTCAAAAAGAAGAGGAGTCAAAGATGAGTTCTGGGCATTTAGATTGGATGACGAGGATGTTTATCAGCATGGCAGAGAATGTAGGTTTAGAATCAGTCTTGGGGTTAGAGTGGGAGGTAAGAGGAATTAGAGGTCATCTGGTATGGTGAAAAGAAATGATAACTGAACATCTTCAGCGTGTGCATAGCAAAGCCACAGAGTACGTCTCCTGTATCCTTTCCCTTTGGGTTGCTGACGTCTTCTTCCCAAGATGTCAATGAATCAATCTGACAAATTAGCCCTTACTAAAGCATGGCTATCTTTGAAGCAATAATATTTTCTTGAAAGGAGATTAATAACAGCTATAACATTGTGTTTTATGTAAAAATCATTATATTGCTTCTGTAAACATGGCATATGCTTTTCTAAACAATTCAAACTGTATAGGGAAATACAGAGAAGAAACTAAAAATTGACTCATTCCATCATGCAGATGACTGAAGTTCACATTTTTATGACATTCCTTTTAGACATATCTCTAGACCCATATACACATATGTATAGTATTTAATAAAATAAGAGCCACTCTACAGGAGCTTTACAATTTGTTTTTTAAAAATTTAACAATATACTATAGACATATGGTTTCTTTGTATTCCACTGTGTGTATTCAGGTGTATGTGTATAGGTGTGTGCACACCCATTTGTGTGTAGCTTAATTTACTCAAAGAGTCTATTATTGAAAGACAGGCTGGGCGCGGTGGCTCAAGCCTGTAATCCCAGCACTTTGGGAGGCCGAGACGGGCGGTTCACGAGGTCAGGAGATCGAGACCATCCTGGCTAACACAGTGAAACCCCGTCTCTGCTAAAAAATACAAAAAACTAGCCGGGCGAGGTGGCGGGCGCCTGTAGTCCCAGCTACTCCAGAGGCTGAGGCAGGAGAATGGCGTAAACCCGGGAGGCGGAGCTTGCAGTGAGCTGAGATCTGGCCACTGCACTCCCGCCTGGGCGACAGAGAGAGACTCCGCCTCAAAAAAAAAAAAAAAGAAAGAAAGAAAGACATTTAAGTGTTTTTAAAGTTTCGTTATGATGAGCAAAGTTTCAGTGAATTTTCCTTATTATTCACATTTTCAAACTGTCAACCTAAATAACAACGAGAGACTCTCTAAAAGAAATATATTTGGGAATAAAACATTGTGATGGGAATACATGTGCCATAGTAAGCTATGTGCATTTTCAGGGAGGTAAAGGAAGACAAAGATTTTTAAAGGAAAAAATGAGGAGGATTACACAATTGTTTTGAAATAATTATCCTTGGCTGCAAAGATAAGTAACAAGGGTTATGCCTCACCGAGAGTACACAGGAAGTTGCTGGGCAGATGTCCTTGTAGAATCATTTTTTGTGTAAGCTTGTGATGGTCTTTAGTCCAAGGTTGTGGTTTTCGTAGTCTTTTTTTGTTATCTGGCATACATGATAACCCTCTTTTCATGGCCTTCCCAGCTCTATTTATCAGGGTTTTCTTGACGTTAGTGAATCCGTTTTGATGCTGACAACTGTTACAAAACTTACAAAATTTTCTTAAAATAAATTTATATATTAAAACCTAGGCCAGGCATGATGGCTCACACCTATAATCCCAGCACTTTGCGAGGCTGAGGTAGGAGGATAGCTTGAGCTCGTGAGTTTTGAGACCAGCCTGGGCA